TTTGAGACGGTCTCACTCTGTCACCCAGGCTGGAGTGCAGTGGTGCAATATTGGCTCACTGCAGGCTGGATTTCCCAGGCTCAGGTAATCCTCACACCTCAACTTCCCAGGTAGCTGGGACCACAGGTGCCTGCCACCATGCCTGGATAATTTTTTGTAGAATTGGGTTTTCTCCATGTTGTTCAGGCTGGTCTTGAACTCCAGGGTTCAAGCAATGTGCACATCTTGGCCTCCCAAAGTGCTGGGATTATAGGCATAAGCCGGCACACCCAGCTGAATGTCACCTTTCAAGGTGTGAGTGGGCGTGGATGGGGAGGGGTGACTGGCACATGTACTATGGTGCTTGTACTCGTGTGAACACTCTGGAAACACAGGAACTCTGCCATCAGCATCCAGAACAGACTACTGGCTCTCTGTGCTCCAACTGTACAAACCTTTATCTTAACACCAAAAATATTATACAAATTTATCTTAATATGGCTCTCTCCATCACAATTTAAATCCTAAAATAAGGGTAAACATGTTAATCATATGTAAGCGCATTTACCATTGCAATTCCAGAGAATAGCATAGCATCAGGCACCTGTAAGGCTGAATACACTTTGATTGTCCTGGTAGTTTCTGCCATTACCTTCATTCTCAGTTTTCCATTCACTGTAATTGTCTGTTATCTGCAGCTTCCCATGGTAGGAGAGAGACACACTAGACTGTTTCGTCGGACAACTGAGAACAGAGACGTTACAGATGTCAGAACTGGGCTCACCTTGTGTCCAAATTCCATAGGTAAGCAGAGGGTCCTAAACTGCGGTCACTATAAAGTAGTGTCTTAGTCTGGGCTGGAGCTAGAGCCTTGAAAGAGATGATTACGTTAGAAATGGAACCATAACGGTGGGCCCTAATGTGATCTAACTGATGTCCTTATAAGAAGAGGAAATTTGGACACAAAAGAGACACAAAGGATGTGCCCACATAAAGAAAAGTCCTTGTGAAGAGGCAGCAAGAGGGTGACCTTCCACAAGCCAAAGAGAGGGATCTCGAAGGAGACCAACCCTGGTGGCACCTGGATCTTGGACTTCCAAACTCCAGAGATGTGAAAAAAAAAAAAAAAAAGTTGCTTAAACCACTCAGTCTATGGTATTTTCTTAGGGCAACCCCAGCAAAGGAATGCACACCCCGAGTAAAACTCAGCAGGCATTAGGACCCTCTTTGAGGACATGCAGTAGATCCCAGATCAAATAAAGTAGTCAGCTCCTACCAAGAAAAGCCAAGGGCAGGAAGAGATTGAAAAGAACAGCCGCTGAAGGAAGAGCGTAATCAGAGAGAAATGAATAGAAACTGCCCAAAGAAAATATGTGCTACCTAGCAACAAATACATGAAGTGTTGAGAATAGGCCAAACAAATAGCTCTAAAGACGACGTGGTAGTGGTAGGGGAAGTAATCAAAAGTAGGAAAGCGAGAAACTGAAAAAAATCAGACAGCAACTCAGCTAGAGAAATTACAGCACAAAGTTAAGAAAGTGCAAAAACATGATAAGGAAAGCAAAGGTGAGGAATGAACAGATTGCGAGAGAGGCTAAGATAAATAATAAGGCATTTGTCAAGTACAGAAGGAACAAGAGGTCAGCACAAGAGCCAATAGTGCCTCAAAGCTGGCAGAGGCAATTTATTGATGGAACATGAAGACCTCGCTAAAAACATTAAAAGGCTTCCCCGCTCCTGCTCCTTGCCTCTCTTTTCACAAAGGAAGATGGGGACATATGCCGGAGCAGACATAAATTTCCCAGGAGTGGAAAAAAGACATATTGAAGGAAATTGGATCGTGTCAGCACAGGTGATCAAGAAATTAGGACATCAGAAAAATTGCCAAAAGTCTAGAGCCAGGCCAGAGACTCCTGGAATGAGGGACCCAGAGGCCAGCGTGGCCCGAGGGCAAGGCCGGGCAGGGTTGAGTGCAGGTCCGGGCAGAGGTGCCGAAGCTGCTGCAGGAAGCAGTCTTGGGCCACACCTGCAAGTTCATCTTGTAGATGAGTTTTCATCTCTGGTACAGGGAACAGATTCAGTGTTGAATCAGGCCTTTATATCCAAAGCAGCTGGCATTTGATAATCTTTGATGGGGCCCTTGTTTTTAAGAGTACCAGCATGACCTAAGTTTGGGGCAAAAGTTCACTCTCCTTCCCAGATCATAGATGGAAAACCTATATTTGAGTCATGACTCTGCTACAGGCCTGCCTGTCATTTCGGGCTAATCACTGAGTGTCGCAGAGATGTAGGTGCCTCATCTCTAAAGCGGAGGTGAGCATTCCCTTGCTCTAAAGTGGACCATGATGCTCAGATGAAATAATTACTCATCCACAAAAACGACAAGTAATCTTGAGTGCTTTTAATGTGCCAGGCACATTGTAGGTCCAGGGAGGGAGGAGAAATAGAGACAGATCCCTGCCCTTCCATGGTTGACATTTTAGTGTTGGGGAAGGAGATAAACAAGTAAACAAAAAAATAAACAAGCTAATTTCAGAGACCAATGAGAGCTTGGGAACAAATGCATAGCTGTGCAAAGCCCTGCATCTTACTGGTGGTCAGGGTAAATGGCATTGAGTTGAGACCTGAACAAAGAGGAGGAATGATCTGGGACAGGACATTCTAGAATGAGGGCAGCAGGCTTCAGTCCTAAAGTTAATGTATAAAGGCATTGTTTAGAATATACAGTGTGGCCAAAATGCTGGCTCTGAGTGACATTATCAAGAGCCTTTTCCGAGGCTGAGAATTTAATTTTTTTCTGTCCCTTCAATCTGACTAGACTGTAAGGGTTCTCAAATCAAGGCAAACTTCAACAAGACAAACCTGGCAACAAAGAAAGAAATATAAAGCACACAACACATAGAACATGGATCCCTGGAGGAGCTGGGAAGGACACCCTTTTTCTTTCCAAAAGTGGGGCCTCCCTTGTCACAGGGATACTGAGGCCATGGTCACTGCTTGTGGCCTGCTAGAAAGTCCTAGACAAATAATCAGTTTCAGCTATATTGCTTACCTGGGGCTACACAGATTCTGTATGGTAAATGGGATAAAACACGAAGATCACGGATGTGCTTTCCTGCTAAAAAGCACCACCTCCTTCAAATAGATTCCTTTCCATTCCCACACTCTGTAATAGTGTAATTGAGCTATGCAGTAATTAAAGAGAAAAATGTCACTATTGTGTTTCCAAATATATTATTTAATTTTCATAAAACAAATCCAACTCTTAGTCTTGAATGCTGGGAGAAGAAAATAAATGGAACCACAAATCTCTACCATTTAATCTTAATACGAGATAAATTTCATTTCACAAATGTTTATTGAGCACCTGCTAGTTTCAGGACATATGCAAAATAAATACTGCCTGGTGCTTGTCATACACAAACTCATGGTCTCTACTTTAAATCACAGTGTTTCATAATACAACATCTACTGATCAGGAGAAGAGCGTTTATAGTGATTTTTACAAAGAAATAAAGCAGGAACAAGTATACTCTATTCAGCAATACTGGACACTCACAGATGAACATGTTTTTTAAGCACATGAACCCCCAGATTTTTGTCTTGAGTAGAACCTTAAATGGAGTTCTACAGGACAAGAAGGTGGGATTTGTGCTCAGGCAGGCCTGGATTGAAAGCCTAGCTCATCTTCTCACTAGTTGTGTGACATTGGCAAGATACATAGCTTCTCAGTTTCCTCATCTGTAGCATGGGACTCATGGTACTGACCTCATGGAGTTGCTGTGAGGATAAAATGAGATCATGCATTCAGGCTGACAGCTTGGCTGTTGTAGGTGCTCCACAATTGCCCCTTTCCCCTTTTAATTGGGGTCATTGAAAAATAAGCAGTTAGATGATTAAAAATGTGCAATTGTTTGTGTCTTCCCGTTTAAAAAGGAGCTAATACCAGCTCAATGTTTTGGAACTGATGCCTACAATGTGTTTCATGTCTTTCTGTCTTCAGAGAGAATAACTTGTCATTTGATAGCGTAATCCTCTGATTCTCCAGGTCACACTAGCCTGAGGCAGAACAGCAATGGCAAGATCTCAGTGACAGAAGAGACACTGCCCCTGCTTGTATTGAGGGAAACACCCATCCTAAAATCCTCTTCATGTGGTGCTGCAGTTTCTAAATTTAGTCATGATGCAGTTCACCAAGATCCTGCTAGATGCTACTGAGGATAAAAAGCCGGATGCAGCCATTGTTCTCAAAGCACTTGGACTTGGGTTTGCTGAGCCACGTGGCCACACAGGTGCATGTTTGTAATCATTTGACAGCAACTTCTTGCAACTGTGGCAGGTCTTAAGAAGAAGGTGTACACGGTGTTACAGGAATCTTAATCAAGGAATTTGTCTTAGGCAGGGAGATGAGAAGGCCATGCTTGAGCTGAGCGGAAGACCTGGAAGAATGAAAAGGAAGAGGAGAAGGAAAGCATTCTGGTCAAAAGAACAGAAGGAGGCAAGTACCGGGGCCGGAGTGCAGAGAAAGGTGAGGTTGGCACCGCTCACGGCCTGGTGGGCCTCGCTGGGAGTTTTCTGCTTAACTTAGGAGCAATAAAAATCTACGGAAGAGCTTTGTGTAGGGGAGTGGTATGATTAGATTGGAACGATCACTAAAGTTGGAAACAGAAAGAGAGGTATGCAAACCTATTAGAGGGAATTATGAGTATCTTGAGAAGAGCTGATGCTGGCTTGGACAGGGGGATGGTAGAAGTTGATGCAGAGAATTTTATTTTGTAGATTTTAGGTGTATTTAGGGGATGAAAATGATAGGAGCTTGAAGATGGTTTGTATGGAGTGGGGGAGGAGGAAGGTAGGTTGAAAGGTGAGAAAGCCTTGAGAGATTCCTAGGATTCCACCTTGAAAGATAGATGAGAGGGCACGGGAGGAGGGGTCACCGAACTGGGGAACACTGGAAGTCAATGGGAACATGGAAAGGTCACAAGTTCTGTTCTCGGTGTTTGACCTTGAGGCTGCCATTGAGAAAGATGAAAGATGTCAAGGAGCATTTTAGATGCTTGGGTCTGAGCTCGGAGAAGCCAGGACTAGGTATAACAGAAACCATTATTATTTTTGGAGGAGGTCCTTAGAAACAGCCTGAGATGAGGGGTCATGTCCAAGTTACTTATTAAGGCTGTGTTCCCCTGGGAGACTGGTCAGGGAGTGGGGGGGAGTGGAGCAGGGAAAGAGAAGAAGCCGAGTAAAAGATGATCTCAGGGTAAGGTATTATCAAGGGGTAATCCCTGCAGAGGACAGGCTTTAGCCTGCTCTCCTGGGGGCTCTGGTGAATAAGTCACAGCTTCCTCAGCTATTGTGAAGGAACCTCAATGGGAGGGGCTGGGCAATCCCTGAGGGCAATCCTCCTCCACCTCTTCCTTCTCCAAGGGCTGCAGGTGCAGCTGAAAGCACACCACAGCTGGTGAGGGGTGGGGCACAGAAACCCTGAAAAGAGATCCCAGGACAGCTGGGTGGAGTGCTGACATCCGCACTATTAGGGTGAACAAGAATTGCCTAGGGAGATGGAGTGAGAAGAGAGACGGTCAAGACCGCTGTACTGAGGGTGTCCAAAATGTGCTAATTAGAATAGAAGCTTAGAAGGGAGGCTGGGAAGGACTACTGTTTCACAGCCGCCCTGCAAAGACAGCAGCAATGCGAGTAGTATTATCTCCAATTTAAAGATGAGAAAACCAAGGCTTGGGGAGGTTGGAATTTGAACACAGAGCTCCTGACCCCAAGCCTAGTGGTCCTTTAAACCCAACAAGGGAAGGTTTTCCAGCGCTGGAGGGCCCCAGTAGCGAAAAGAACTGGTCCTCTTTTGAAGGTGTTTATAGATGCCAATGCTCATGGTTGAACACTTGCATTGCCAGATTTGAGAACCTGGGGAGAAAGGGAAGCTGGGGGGTGATTTACGGTGATTTTTATAAAGAAATAAAGCAGAAGCAATTTTTATACTCCATTTAGCAATACTAGACACTCACAGACAAACATTTTTCAAGCACATGAACCCTCAGATTCTTATCTGGCATAGAGCCTTAAGTGAAGTTCTACAGGACAAGGAGATGGGCTTTGTGCTCAGGCAGCCCAGATTGAAAGCCAAGCTCATCTACTCACCAGTTGTGTGATATTGGACAAGATATGGAGCTTCTCAGTTTCCTCAGCTGTAACATGGGACTCGTGGTACTTAGCTCATGGAGTTGCCTGAAGATAAAATGAGATCATGCATTCAAGGTGACAGCTTGGCTATTGCAAGTGCTCCACAACTGCCCCTTTCCCCTTTCAACTGGGGACATTAAAAATAAGCAGTGAATGATTGAAAACGTACAATTGCTTGTGTCTTGCTTTTTGAAAAGGAGCTAATACCAGCTCAGTGTTCTGGAACTGATGCCTAGCAATGTGTTATGTGTCTTTGTCTCTTCAGAGAGGTGAGGAGGAGAGGCTGGAGCTACTCCCCTGCATCCCAGGAGGCAAGGGTGAGTGCGATGAAGGCTTGGGGCAAATGTGTGGGAGTCTCAGCCGCCCAGAGCACAGAGACTAGCCTGCTTGCTGTCTACCAAGGCTTTGAATTTATTTTCTGCCTCTGGGGAAACTTCTGTTGACTTTGTCCATTAAGCAGGCTTGCAGGATGTCTGCTGACCCCAGGTTCCTTCTCCCCTGAGGAAGCCCCACTGCTTCAGAGATCAGCAGAGGTGTGCTGGTTCCCAGGGCTTCCCCAGTCCAGGGGGAGGGTGTTGGGGATGGAGTGGGCTCTGGGCGGGGACACAGGGGCATGCCTCAGGGACACAGAGCACGACCCTCTGTTTGCCGACTCTCTTACTCTCTGGCTTGAGGAGCAGTGAGGAAAATCAGAACTGAGAATACCTGCCCCTGAATTGTCTGGGATTAATTAGGAGACTGATAATGCACAGTGTGTGCCTAGGATGAAAATGAGTTATGGACTCATTACTAATATAGCTGGGTGGATGATTAGTATATAAAACAAGGCCACTTCTCAGTAAGCCAGAGGTCATTAGGTGTCCCCACAGAGTGACTTAAGCCAAGCTTGTGTTTGTGGGGAATTCCCACTGATTTACCAGGGAGTAAGAGCCGGCGAATCTAAGATGTTTTGCCCAGTTTAGTAAATAAAATGCAAAGACCCTGCATGATGCTTGTGTTTTCTTTTTTTTTTTTTCCTTATAGAAAATATTTTCCATGAAATGGAACACCAACATTAAAAGTAAAAAGGGGGTGGGAAGAAGAAACCTAAAACCAATGTAAATTGGAAGCAAACTAGTATTCATTTCCTGTAGAGGAATTTTATATTTTTTAATGGAGTTACTGTGGCTTTTTATTTCAGTGTAAGGTGAAGAGTCAAAGTATGAGGATTTAAGGCTTCCAAGTGTGTGCAGTTATATGAACAGACCCTTAAATTTGCCAGCACGCCCCAGGCACTGCTCCTGCATAACTAATGTCTCCCTCACCAGGGCCAGGGCGGAGGGCCCTCTGACTCCCCTGGAAGTTATGCAGGGATAAGGGGAGTGTCAGGAATGCAGGATTAGGCCCCTTAATTGAAGCTGTCATTAGCTGAAGAGGCAGGCAGGCTTGTGAGCCTTTCCAAGTTTGCATTTATTATAAGATGAAGATATGGCTCCTTTGGCATAAAGAGGGTAGAGGGGATTTCTGCAAGTTGGCAATATCTACCCCCCCCACCACCTTTTTAAGTTGGTTTGTTCTACAACATTCATTATGCTCTTCTTAGTAGATCCCAGAAATGCTGAAATCATCCTTTAGAGGATTTTCTTTATCTTCTGAGGAAGGCCAGCTGGAACCTTCTGAAATGATTCCCATTCAGCATGCAGCCACAGGCAGTACCAATGGTAAGGATGAAATATTATTTTTGTAAATTACATGTAGTTACAGCAGTGCCACTTACTTAGACACTCCTTATTGGATGATGAGAATGGAGACCATGGGGCTGAGCATCCTCTATGGCATAAACGAGCCAGGAAAGGGAAAGGTCTTAAGGCTCTGGAGAGATTACTGTGATCATTCCTCATATCCATGCAAGTGGCATTCTAAGTACACCTATTCTTTTTCTATTTAGTTTTTTTTTTTTTTTTTTTTTTTTTTTTTTACAGTGGTAAAATGTACGTAACAACAAATTTAGCATTTTTAGGTGGACAATTCAATGGCGTTAACTATATTCACATCACTGGGCACCCATCACCGCCATCCATCTCTAGACCTTTCCGTCTTTCCATACTGAAACTCTACTCATTCAACAATAACTCCTTCCAGGCCCTGGTCCCGGGATCCCTCCAGCCCCTGGTAATCTCTATTCTACTTTCTATGAATTTAACTACTCCAGGTACCTCATATAAGTGAAATCACACAATGTTGTTCTCTTTTTGCCTGACTTATTTCACTTCATATAATGTCTTCAAGGTTCATCCATGTTGTAGAATGTATCAGAATTCCATTCTTTTTTAAAGCTGCATAGTACTCTGTTGTATGATAACGGCATATTTTGTTTATCCATTCAGCCGTCAATGAACACTGGGTTGCTTTCACCTTTTAGTTATTGTGAATAATGCTGCTATGAGCATCTTTCCATGTGCATAAATATTTCCTCCAGACTCTGCCTTCAGTTGTTTTGGGCATATACCAAGAAGTAGAATTTCCGGATCATACCGTAATTCTGTTTCTGGTTTTTTGAGGGGGCTCCATAGCAGTTGTACCATTTTACATTTCCACCAACTGTGCGGAAGTTGGGTTCCAATTTCTACATCCTTACCAACACGTGGTATTTTTAGCTGGCTTTTGTTGTTGTTAGTAGCTATCCTAATGGATGTGAGGTGGTACCTTATTGTGGTTTTGATTTGCATTTTCCTAATGATTAGTGAATTTGAACATCTTTTCATGTGCCTGTGTATAAATATTCCTTCCAGCCCTCACTTTCAGTTCTTCTGGGTGTATACCAGAAGTGGAAGTATGTGCCACTCAACCATTGGAGCAGCCCCCAGAAAGACTTGTTTTGAGTGGGTTATGACAAGCCCTAGGGTATAAGAAAACTTCAACCAGAATTCTAAGAGATAGAGAATATTCTGGCTAACAGAGGATTAATTAGATCTTTTCATTTTTGTTTCAATCATGCTTACTAAAATTCTTCCCAAAATATTTTATTCTGCCTTTTAGATGAGTTCCACAACCCGTCCTAAGAGAATTTTCATTATCCTAGAGGAATACTATAGGATGACCACCTGGAACTAGACACTTAATGTGCTATCCTGGAGTTTCAGATGAGAAGCACCAAATATGTTTACCCATGTTATAGGCCAAAAGGTAACAGTTGTATAGGATTGTGAACCTGAAGTCAGTTAAATATTTGGGGATGTGGTTTCAGAATAAATGGTCTGTAGCTCTTCTTTCTGGCAGTGACTGGAGAGCAGGGCCTGTTGTCTATTAAGGCCACTCCTAGTTCATGAAAATAAAACCATGTCAACTGCATATAAAAGAATGTTTATCTTTCTGTTCTCCTAGGAGGGAATTGGAGGGGCCAGGCTGGGAAAGTGCCTTGTTGATCCAAATGTGGTAGCATATCACCGATGTTTCAATGGAAAAGAAAAGTGTGTTCAACATTCATTCATTGTTTCTCCTCATTGGAAATGAGGATTAAGGCAATTCTGCATTTAGTACCAGGCACATAGTATGTGATCAGTAACTGTTTATTCAATGATCAATGATGACTGCTCCTTTAAAAGGCTGCCTTGCTATACCTCACTTTCATGTAATGTCAAGATGATAGTTCTCTATCCGAATTGGGTTAGAGCATTTGGCTGGCCAAGCTGGGTCCCAGGTGTTGCTACTGTAGACAGGCCCACTTTTCACCCCTTATTTGCATCTGTTTGCCACCGTTCTTTTAATTGCATGGTGAACACTTTCTTTTGGAAAGAGCCAGAAAGGAAAGGGAGATATTGGCTAGAATGGCAGAAACAACTATTTTGAGTCTGGTCTGGCAGACAAGAGTTTGAACCCACGTCCAGAGGAATGAGAGCCAGAGCACAGGAGAGCTGTTCTCCTGAGAAGGTGAGATTCTGGTATGGATCCGCTGCTTTGGGGCCCAGGTGATCGTGTAGCCATGGAAGCTTCTATTCTCCTCTTTTCCGCGCAGATCCACAGCCTGCTCTGGATGCATCACAGATGGCAGCCTGGGTGGGAAATGTCTGTCTGGGGACACTCAGTGTCCTGGGGCAGCAGGAGCTGCTTCAGGCAGCTCTATGGGAGCCATAGAGGAAGGAAAGGAAGGAGACACAGGAAAGTAAAGAAATGCGGGCCCCTGGCGCCCATTGAAGCTCCAACAACAAACTGTAGGTTGCAGGCAAGCTCCTTTCTGGAGCATATACGGGGTTCAAAACCATAGCTTTGTGTGTGTGTGTGTGTGTGTGTGTGTGTGTGTGTGATCACCAGCTGGTGAGATCTGGGGGATATTTATTTGTGCTCCAAATTACTACCTTTGTACCTATAAGAAACCAAGCACAAAACAGATACCTACTTCGGTAGCAAATAGACAAGGAAGGGACAACAAACTCCACACCAAAAAATCATCTATAATCCTAAACAGATTTATCCACAGCTTGGTACAAAGCATGGTCTTTGTGTCAAATAAAAATCCCAGGTTTGCTGAGGTCGGGGGTTTGAGACCAGCCTGATTAACATGGAGTAATCTCGTCTCTACTAAAAATACAAAAAATTAGCCGGGTGTGGTGGTGCATGCCTATAATCCCAGCTACTCGGGAGGCTGAGGCAGGAGAATTGCTGAAACCCGGTAGGCGGAAGTTGTGGTGAGCCGAGATGACACCATTGCACTTTAGCCTGGGCAACAAGAGTAAAACTCTGTCTAAAAAAAAATCCCAGGTTTGAATAATGACTACAATGATGATAGTAATAACAGCACACACTTTTCTACAGTGTTCCCTGTGTGAAAGGTACAATTCTGAGTACTTTATATGTTTTAGTTAATTTAATCCCAGCAGTCCTATGTGATCGGGTGTCTTACTGCAGCCACTCTATAGAAGAGGAAGCTGAGGCAAAGAGAAGATAAGTAACTTGGTCAAAATCACACAGTCAGTATGCAGCAGAGTTGGGATTCAAATCAAGAAGACGGCTTTATCTCATTATGAGATATGGTAAAGATACCAGCTTTATTGAGGTATAGTTTACATACCATAAAACTCACCCTTTTTGCCTTTGGTTTTTTCTTTTGAGATAGTCTTACTCTGTCGCCCAGGCTGAAGTGCAGTGTTGCAGTCTCTGCTCACTGCAACCTCCGCCTCCCGGGTTAAAGCGATTCTCCTGCCTCAGCCTCCCAAGTAGCTGGATTATAGGCGCACACCACCATGTCTGGCTAGTTTTTCTATTTTCAGTAGAGACAGAGTTTCACCATGTTGGCCAGGCTGGTTTCGAACTCCTGACCTCAGGTGATCTGCCTGCCCCAGCCTCCCAAAGTGCTGGGATTACAGGCGGGAGCCACCATGCCAAGCCCACTCACCCTTTTAAAGTGTGTAATTCAGCGATTTTTAATATGTGTTCAAAGCTGTACAACCATTACCACTATCTAATTTCAGAACACTTTTATCACCCTAAAGGAAGCTTGACATCCATTAGCTTTGCTCCCCTTCCCCCTTCCCCCTTCTCGTAACCACTAATCTCTACCTTCTGTCTCTGCAGGTTTGCCTATTCTGCTTTGCACATAAATGGAATCATACAATAAGTAGTCATTGTGTCTGGCTTCTTTTTCACTTAGTAAGATGCTTTCAAGGCTCAGCCATGGTGTGGTATGTATCAGAATGCCAATCCCTTTTATGGTCAAATGATATCCCATTGTATAGTTACACCACATTTTACTTATCCATTCATTAGCTGATAGACACTTGGCTTGTCTCCACTTTGTGGCTCTTATGAGTAATGTTCCTATGAACGAACTATGCTATATTGCCTAACAAAAGTGTATTAAAAAAAATAAAACCAGAATATATTTCACATACGATGACTAATAAGCTAATTTTCTGGAGGATTCAAGAATTGCCTCTCTAAAGGCAGGCAGGCACTCCTCTGCCTATCTGTATTTAAGGAGCTGATAAAGGTGGTAGAGATCATGCCAGGTGATGTATCTAAAGTGCTTTCTAAAATGTTAAAGCATCTGTCCAAATATTGGTCATGAATAACATGAGCTAGCCAATGACTTGAGAGTTGGAGTTAGACACCTGACGATAGTTAGATGACTAATTGGGGTTTTATTGTTAAAAACACTATTTATTTTAAAAGGTTCTATGCGGTGTTAACTGGGAGGTGGAAAAGGGGCCCACTTTGTGTCCGTAGCCAGCCACAGTGGGCTGTTCCACAAATGTCATTGTCGGTCCCAGGGACACTAGTTTCTCTGCTACTGTATTCCTCTTTCCTATTTGTTATTCATTTTTGATATCTTATTGATCATTCCTCATGTAAAAAAAAGGACATTTTTAAGTCTCTAATCCAGTTAGGAATATATTTAGCTGCATACAACAGAAAACCTAACCGTGACTTAAACAGAATTGTATTTTCTTACATGACAAGTCATCTGAAGGCTGCTTTGGCATCCGTGGTGTCCGGACCAATGTGTCTGTGCTTTTTAAAAAACTTTCTCTCATGTTCACAAGAGGCTTGCCTCACCTTGAGCAGTCATGTCTGTGTTCAGGACAAAAGGGGCTTGGGTAGCGGTGGTGTCAGGAGAGCTGAAGCCCTCCAAGAAGCCCCCAGCTGACCTGTGTTCTGTCTCATTGCCCAAGAGATCACCAGGGAGGCTGGGAAAGACCATATTTAGATTTTCCACCTG